TTATTGGTTGAGGGGAGAAACAAAAATGTACTTGCTTCTAGGCTGTTTTCAATCAGAACTTTCATAAATGCAGAACTAAATCTGTAACCCATCCTTGGCATCTCCGATGGTTCTATTCTTTTGTTAGCACTCCCAATTTGAGGATTTTCTCCTTTTTTATTGGAGATCTTGACAAAATTTCAAAATCCTATTCCTTTAGCTTAACCAAGTGTGGTTGGTTAGGATTGTTACATTTTTAATATATGTAGTTTTCATCCGTGTAGTATCACAAATATGTGTGAGGGTTATCATGACTAAGGATCAGATCAGTACTCAAAGAATATTTTTGTCAAGTTACCGGTTTGGTTTTTAATTCCTTACCTCATTCAGACATGATAATTCCTAAGTGCCAGAGACTTTCCTTTTTATCATTCCTTAATTTTCTAACTCTGAATATTGACTGATTAGAAGAAAATAAAATGTAAAACTGGCATATTACCTACTAGACTGATCACAAAAAATTAAACAAATACTGCGTTAAACTAAGTATAAATTTGACAGCTATCCATTTCTAACTCCCAAACTGCAAACATGGGTAACTTCTATGTATTTCTTCCTAACACTGACTTCTAATAAAAATGCAGAATGTCCATGATGTCTGAAGTCACAGATATTCCTTTAAAAAAAAAACAAAGGTTCAGTCACTGAAAATTGAAAATTCTGATTTAAGGCAACTCTTTGGATAATATTTTAACAAAAATTTCAAGAATGTGGCTTTAAAGGCTTACTTTTTGTGTAACTTGTACTCTACTGTCCTTGAAGTTAGAAGAATTAAGTTGGTCTTTTCATTCACTCCATGTCCTAAATTCAAAATCTTCAAAATAAATACACTGCATACTATATTTTAATCAGGATCATGATTCTCATGGCACTGAATACAAAATGTATTCTTGCATACTTCAATAATACATAGTTTAGATTTATAAAGTGAGTCAAACACTGACAAAGAAAATTCGGCCATAACACTGAAAACCCTCAAATATTGGAATTAATGTAATACAATATTGTGTATTAAATATTAAAAACATGACAATTATATGGCTAGCTCAGGAAAATGTTCATGATTTGCAAGGAATTTTATTCTTCCCAATAAAATGGATTATCTTTTCAAAAACGGACTTTTCTGTTTGAATGGAAGAAAAATACATGGAACTCACTATCTTCCCATTCCTATTTTCTTCTTCCCTAGTCTATTTCATGCTTTATGAATTTCATAACAAATGTTCATGAACTTCAATGGGGAAAATATATTTTTCTGGAGAAAAGCAATTTGGAGAGTTGAGATAAAAAATATGGGAGTTTGCTGTTGTTGCTATAAATTATTTGGCACCTCTTTGTGTATTCTTATAGTGGATATGGTATTAAGAAATGGAAATTCCAGTCCTGATTCTGCCATTTACTTTATCTATTTTATAAAGATTTTCCCTAACATTCAATACAGACTACTTATAAGACTATAAGTTCTTGAAAACTTATAAAATTCCGTTAACAAAATTATAAAAATCTGTAGTTCCAAGGGAAGTTTGCTATAGTATATAATCCTGGCAACTATACATTGTGGAGAATATCGATAATTCGGTCACTATTGCATCAGTACTGTATCAGGCATTATGTGGTTCCTGTTACAATATGAATACAGAATAAATCCAGTAAGTTCTAACACATGTGCAAAGAAAACTAAATTTATGGTGTTCTCCAAAGTGAAATTATCAAAGTATCTAGGTATTTATACATATCTGCTTTGTAAAAGATCAAATTCAAAATGTATCACAGGTTTTAAAGACAAGTGTACTGTGACTCAGCAGTTCTAAGGATGCACCTTGAAGGTATATTCAAAGATGTTAAAGGATACAGACCATTTACATTAAAAAAAAAAAAAAGGAAAGGCCCTAAGTGCCCCAAATGAGGATTGGTTCAATACATTATCGTTCATCTACAAATGTAGGGGCTTTAAAAATGGTATAAACCTGTTATCATAAATAAAAACTACAATAGTATACATTAGAACCCCATTTTTAAGTGTCCAGTGATCATTTTTATAGATGATAGACTTTCTATCATCCTACCTCTGTCTTTATATATTGTGTGATTTTAAAAAAAAAATTAAGAAAGACCCAATTCATTCCTACTTTATACAGAAATACTTTTCAGGTTAAGTAAAAGCTGAAAACATGCTCAATCTGCAAATATTCCACAGAGGCTGGCAATATAGGTGTAAAATATATAATTCTTTTAAATAATTTTACCAAATGTCATTATTAACCAAAGTCCTCTATACTATTTCAAGCCAGTCCTATATTATTTCACCAGATCTCTTTAACTAGATTTTTATCAAGATGTATGCACTTTGAGATGATAATGTGTTTTTTTTCATAGAAGCAGTGTCAATGGTGGAAGACTGGTTATTTACCAAGCTTACTTAACCCACATTATAGATGACAGAAGGTATATCTGTAATCAAAAGAACAAATTTATCATCTGATAAAATTAAATATGAAATGAATATGCTGAATGCTGGAAAAGCAGATTAAATTAGTACAGAAAACATGTTCAAATAAAAACTGAAAATTATGGAGGAAAGTTCTAAAAACTTTCAAAAGCTTTGGAGGTTGACAGTATACGTACTTTGTCTAATTTCGCTTTAGAATCTATGGCAGTCCTTCTTTGACATCACAATATTTTTATACTTATCACTCATGATAAGGAGAATCATTCTTGTTCCAAAATAGTGTAAAGAGAAAATTTCTGGCAGTAAAGAGGCAGGAATTAAGAAGCGTATGGAGGATTTGTAATGTGAGAAAAGAAGTCATTAGGCCAATAACATGTTGGTACCAAAAGTGACTTAGAACTAATTTAAAGTGAGAATGGAGGATAAAGAGGGACAAAGGGCAGTGTGAAGCCATTTCTTTATATAGTAAACATTTCAGAATTCTCAACTGTGCAATGCCTGAGGGCTGCAAATTTTTCCTTCTATTCTAAATTAATATAACAAGATACAGGACAATTTTAAAAAGTTACAACTGCTTTAAGTAAGACTATTTTATTTAAAAATTTTTCAAAATATAAAAATAATAAACATTATGGATATTTAACAAAACATAATTCAACTATAAATAATAAAAATGTTGACAACCCCACATAAACATGAATACTATAAACATTCTAAGCATACAAGAGTAGTTTTCTAGTTCAAGTTTTACCTTTTTCAGTTCAAGTTTTATCACCTTTAAAAATAAACAAACAAAAAAAAGCTGCTACAGCTTAACCAATTACTTTCGCTCCACTCTAAGAGCAGGGAATTTTTTCCCCATGCCAACACACATTCGTGAAATGGGATACTTATGGGCATAGGTATTAAAAACTGGAACAATCCAGTCTCCGGACAAGAAAAGACTCCTTTGGTGTTTTTAGGTTCAACAATCCACAGAAATCGAGTTAAACTAACCCACCTATTAAAGGAAATCTTGTGCCTGACAACATGTTCTGAAGTTAATATCACACCCAAAACAGATCCAGGATTCTGAGAATCAAAAATAAACATCTATGAATGCTTTGCTGATACTTAAAATTTGTATCTTAAGAACATTCACTAAGGTGCTGGAATGAAGTCTTGTAGATGTAGAAAACAATCTACACATTAACACAAAACTTGTACAATGTAAATAATACATCTTTCCAACTCATCAAATGTTCTATAAATTTTTAAGAATTATCCTGCCTCCTGTTGAATAAAAGACAGATGGGAATTTAAAGCAAAGCAGGATTTCACCATATTATAGGACTACAAAAGTTTTCCATTTGAAATATGGGAAAACTGAGCCATGCTGAACGTATCATTTTTTAATTCTAGCCACATTAACACCATTCCTCTTATCAAAAGAGCTAATAACAAACGGAAGAAACTATTTTCAGTTTGGGAGGCTGGGCACAAGTAAGTACACTGTCATTCTGCATCGTATCTTTAAATTATGGGGATTTTCTAATGTGCTGGGCTCTTTACCTGTTAGATTAGAATAAGTCACAAGCAATCATAGATTAAAGCCTAACAGAGTCTAGATAACAGGTTCAAAAATGATATTGAAAGGTTTTGTAGCACCAATGACTTTTTCCTAAGACACTTGGTGGCTGCATCACTTTAAAGTATTATTTATCTTGTAAACAAGACCAAAAATATTCAGTTGATCTGTATTTTGAGCATAAATATTTATAAACTCTATTTTGTTTAAAAAAAAACAAATATAGCATGACTAGAGCAGCTAATAGTGTAAAATCCAAGTATATTGAAAAATATAAAGACATATAAAAGGTTTCCATAATGCAATCATGCAGAGGTAAACTGTTTCATTCAATTACACAAGTGATTCTGTAGTTATCTACACATAGCTCCATGAGAATCCTATTCAGGAAAATGATATAAAAATCCTTTAATTAAATTAATCAATATATGGGAATTTAACTATGTAACTGACCTACTGGGTCTCACCGTTTTCAAAAAGCGCAGTGATCAAATCATCTCGACTCTGATTTCAAATGGTATGTTCAATTTTGTTTTGCTTTATTTTGTTTTTAAAGGCAAGGAGGAAAAAAAAGGAAGATGACAAAATAAAATTGAAGATGATGGTATGTGGTCCACATCCATTAACCAACTAAAACTGTTATCAGCAAATATGGTCTCTCAGGCTGGGTTTCTAACCTAGCAGGTAAACGACTATTACATGGGCAGAAAATCTTTCCTTGAAAAAATACTGAACAAATCTGGGAAAATATTTACAAACTCCCTGCTGCTATATGTTAGTTTGCAAATATAAACTAAGCTTAAAGTCTAACTTTAAAAATGCCTTGTAGGCTACTAGGTCATAATTATGTTAGAAGACCTTCCAAATATGTAATTTTCCTTTAAACCAATCCTACCATTAACCATGCTGTCTCCAACTAATGAGGAACAAAATAGATAATTTACGTTATGTGTTCACTCTTTATTTTTCATGAAGACAAATGCAATGCATACGCAAGAAAAAAGTGTTTGCACAACAGTCAACTTTACACAAAAAAGGAGAAAATATGAGCATGGATAACGTTGAATAGAATCAAGTGTAATTTGGACTTTTCTAATAAAGACTTACTACCAAGTACAACTTCCAACTTCTCAAATGCCTCATGAGAATCTATGAAGAAACACTCAAAAATTAATTTTCTGAAAACTTTTTTTATGGTGCTCATTATAAAAAGGGTATTTTGGGTAAATATTTAGGATAAAATTTAATCACACTCTATAAATAATTCTAAGCCATGTTGTTATAAATAACATGGGCATATAATTTTAAGACAGGGAAACTATAGTAGTCTTTAACAATGTTAGACACACAACACTATTTCCCTTTGTTTTTAAGATTGTCTTTGAGTGCTTGATTGCAAGTGAGGAAAATATGAAAAAACTGTGTAAATTAGACATCTAATAGATATTTTTCAATATTTATAATCCACAGGTTATCCTGCATTACTTGAAAGAAAAATTATTCTCCCTGTTGGTTTTAAAGAGCTAATTAAAAAAATTATTCGAGTAAGTGGTCTTGGCAATAACTACAGTAAGTATATTTAGAAGAAATAGGCAAGTTATTACAGTGTGTAAAAAAGTATTTTGCCATCTGTTTAAAATTATTTCAAGTGATTATCCTAAACCCAGAAAAATTAAAACCAAACCCGTGTTTAACTTTTTAATCATTTTCTTCATTCTAAATTATTAGTGCTAATTAACACAGCATCATAGCTTTATGGATTTCCTAGAAACAATTCTCAACTTGGCTGAGACTGAACTTCTCTCATATTAGAAACCTTTGTATGGTGTTTAAAAAATAAATGACTATAAAGTAAGGGGAGAAAACATTTAAGAATAAGGACAAAGTACACACTCAGATACACTTCTGGACTCAGATGTACCCTTAGAGAACTGTAAAGATAAAAATGCTAATTATAGTACATGTAAACATCTATTCAAATTGATAAAGGGCAAACATAAAATGATAGAATATTATAACAGTCGTCTCCAGACAGGAACAGGTCTTGCTGTTGTAGTCACAAAGCTAAATTCAGGCAATGATGATCTCTCTCTGCTGAAAAAAGAGAAGACTATTAAAAAAAACTTTGAAAATAGTAAATAAATCTAAAAATTGAATCACACCTTAAATTGATCTCCAATTTTTCTAAACATTAAAAAAAAAAATCTATTTAAGAAAGGATCAAAATCAAAGTTGTAGACAAATTTTTTAAAAAATCAGCTTTGGCTTCAAATGATTTTAACGAAACCTCTCTGCATCAAGCTTCCTTAAAACATTAAGCTGCAAAGATCACAGCTCTACAACATGGCAATGATATAAAATTTTTGGTTAGGAAATGCAGAACTGACCAGAAAGTAAATTTTTATATAAAGCTGGGTAGGCAAAGTACTTTGAAAAAATCATGAATTCCAAGATATTATATATAAAAATGAAAGCAAAAACAATTATATTGTTTCCCAAAGATTTTAAAGTAATTGCAAGTTATACCTAATTTCCTTAAACTCCATGATAATCATTTAATTCTTTAATCACACTACATGACATAAAATTCTGTACTAAGCACAATGCTTAATAACAACAATAAATAAGAAGAAAAATATCAAAATAAGAATGCTGTGTATACAAAGGATGACTAATTTTGGATGAGGGGAAGATGAGTGGATGGATGAAATCAAGTAACAGAGGAGGGATTAGGAAGGAGTATAATAAATTGATACAAAAAAGTAAAATAAAAATGCTTTCAATTACACTAAGTAATGAGTAACATAAAATACTTATAAAGTGCAAAAAAATTATTTACCAAATTAGAAATTTTTCTACTAAACGATGTTTACATCACAAATTACTGAGCATGGCAATCATGTTCACCAAGATTTCTTTTGTCTTTAGGACTTTTAGATAGCTATTTTGGATGATTATCTGCTGTCATCCAATAGGTATATAATGATCAGAGAGAAAAAGAAATTCTCTTCTCAAAAGCCTGTGTACATACTTTAGAGAAACTAGCCAGTTCAAGAAGTTAATAAGAACAAGGTAGTTTCTGAGATTTGGGAAAAGAAAACTTTCTTTCTGCCTCATAAATATTATACACTCATAATTGAATCTTAAATTTCCACTTTTAATTTATAGGATTTTAGAAGAATAAGAAAAACTCAGAGAAACACCAAAAAATGAGCTAACTTAATTATAGCCAGAATTTCATACAGGACATGGTTGTTTTAAAAGGCCAAAAGACTTTTGTAAGTAAAGAAAACAAAGCTTACAAATGTTTATATAAATTCTAGAAGGACTAAAAATAATTTTCTATAATTAGTTCACATTATGGGTAAGGGGAAAGAAGAAAATATAGATGATAGTTATATAATACTCTAAAATTGCCACTGGATTTTAACATACTAAACAAGCAACTTTTTGCTTTTTGTTTTTAGCCCTTAGAGCCAATGATTAGTGTTCCAAGTAAGATTGGAAATACAGTCCCCATCAAACAGCTCTAGTAACAGGAAATTTCCTTCAGTTAAGCTCAGCCATACTTTCTACAGATAATCAGCTAAAACAGTGACATCTTGTCTTCATAGTAAACTACTGGATGATACATTTCATCATATTACAATAAAACAAGCACTATGGAATACTCGGCCATTCCTGCAACATGATTTCAATAAATGCTTGGGCATTGATTAAATATTAAAATTAATTTTTAAAATCTTACAATTATTCAATAACAGTTAAAACGACACTACTTAGAGACATAAAATATTGAGTGAAATATGTAAAATGACAACTCAACCATCCCTTGAGGTAATCCTAATCAATCTTTTAACCAATAATATATTAATTTCCCTCAATTTTTTCCTGTAAGAAGTAACTACCTACATTGTTCTTGATCCTTTTCTTCACTCCCAACTCAGTCCACATCTGTACTAAAGCAAAGAACTTCTTATGACAACCTTAATTAAGAATGTGCTTTGAGTTTTAGGTAGCATATTGTAATAGAAAACAGTGCTAAACTTTTGAGTTCAGAAGTGAATGGGAAAGCTGTAAGCAGGAAGGAAAAGTGCTAGTGAATACAGAAGTTAATCCATACTTTACAGGCTGCATGCATTTGGGAACACTGTATACAAAATTGTACTGAGACACTTACTATTAATTATAATAACCAAATCGAGGTTGTTTCCATTGATAAGATGATAGAAACAACAGCAGCAACAGTAATGGAGAACTGGTATAGATATATTACATTGTTTTAGATTAAACACTAATATACTACCAGGGGAACTACAGATGTGAAAGGGACCTTAAGAGATCATCTAGTCCAACCTCTCATTTTACAGACAAGAAAACAGCCCTGGATAAGTTAAGAGACTTGTTTGAGGTCACAGAGTGAGTTAGAGCTGGGACCAAAAGTTAAATCTCTTAACCTCTGTCCAGTACTCTACACTAGATCATCATAACATATAAAAAATTAGTGGGATGGACTAGATCGGTGGCTCTTGGCATTTCTATTCTTACACACTGATAGAAACCAAAAGGCTATTTTAACTCCTGAAACCACTACAAAATTTAATACTCTAAAATATTAATGGCTTAGCAATTGTTACAGAAATTCCACTAAGACTACATGTGTATTCCTCCATCAGTGTTTGTCACCCCATTGGTGCAATACTTAACTATATCAATTGTTTAGCAAAATGGCCCCAATGACTGAGAAGACCTTAAATAGAGACTTTTGAAAAATTGATAAGAATTAACAAGGGAGGTAATTGTCACTCCGTTATTGGAGATTTAAATGTGCATTCATTCATTAGTTTATCCAACAAACAACTGAGTGCCCACTATGAGCCAGGCTTTGTGATAATCACTAGAGGTAAAAAGATGAATAAGACATGGTCCCCTTCTTGGAGGAGCTTGTAATATAGTGGGGAAGACAGACATATAAACCAGATAAATTATAACATAAGTACTTGTAACAGAGATATGAACAAAGTGCTGTATTAAAAGGGAGGGTAAAGGTATGAACTGGCTAATGACCAAGAAGTCTACTAATTTTGTTCAAGAACTACCACATTTACTGTACACACAATCTCATGCTCTATCAATAATTAGAAAGAAGGCAGCAATGTAGAGTCAAAAAAAAAAAAAGTTGGTACTGATACTAGAATGCCTGCATTCAAATCTAATCCTTTCATTACCACCTGTGACTTTGGACAAGTCACTCCATCTCTATTAGCCTATGTTTCCTTATCTGTAAAATGGGAATTAACAACTAATTCAATGGGATATCTTACGTTTTAAATGAGAAGAAATAAAGTACATATAGAGTACCAGTATTTATGAATGTATTAGTTTTAAAAATTCAATAGCAATAAGAATCTAATATAATCAAAATCATATTAATAAAAATATAATTGTGAGCCTAATGAATGTTGCTAATATTTAATCCGCATACTCCAAGACCAAATAGAAATATATTTGTCTTCTGATTCATTCACAGAAAAAAAGTCTTAAAACATTTTAATTTTAAGTTACTAGAGAATGTAAGTCTAGGGAAAGTAATTAGCTATTTACAAATTTAAATAGATAGGTAATTTCAGTTACATAAGGGAATTTTACAGCAGTTTAAAAAACACCAGACTAAAATTTACTAATCAAATCATAAAGCCAAAAATCAGCATGGAGATTTAACCGGCCTTTGAAAGATTTTCTTTCTTTATAATACCTGTTTGGTGTAAAGAGAAGAAACGTGAGCCTCTGCCAATTTGGCACCTTTCACGACTACTAAAAAGAAAAGAAAACAAACTTACCTAACGAATCAGAATAGCAGAGTCAACATACAAAAGACTACATAAAACATGTCACAGATCTAAGTATAGTGAAGAAGTTTTGGAGTACAGTCACTATTTTGACAAAAGGAATCTGATTTTGAATTCTTAAATATAAACATGTGTAGCAATTGCAAGCCAAAACATTCCTATGAAATAGTATTATCAACAATATATATATAAACTTGAACCCTAAGTGTGAGAAAAATCCACTAGTTACTCCACTGGCAGAAGACTATGGTGGTAGAATTAACCGTTTGTGATTGTGAGAACCCAATATGAAAAGAAAGTGATTTTTTTTTAAATGTGGATTTTAATATAATCACTATAATCTCAGGAGGGGCAGAAACACTTATAACCGAAATGATGAATTTTAAAAGATAAATATATGTAATCTCCCTCCCACTCATTCTACAAAGAATGCATTTATTTCCTGGAAACTCCTGTATCAACTTTAAATGATCGTGTTCACTTGCCAGAGAAATCCACTTAAAAGTCACAATATTGTTGCAAATGTCAAAGATTTTTATACAAGCATAGGAAATGCACACTTAAAATATCAGACTGGAACACTTACCAAACAGTGTTTTCCTAAAGTAGTATCTATAGTACATTTCTTTATTCATACATCTTCAAATGGTCAAGTTTTCTTTCATACATCCAAAATGTAATGTGATGGTTTTCTTATTCACCAAATGTTAGCTCTACTTGAAGTCTGGTTCCAAACTAATCAGCCTGCTTTTAAATTTTAAGACATCTGTTGAAAATTTATAGGATCAAACCAAACGTGGTATAATTATAAATTTTAAACAGTGGATTGTACATTATTGTAAAGGTACCAGTAACCATTATTACTGAGGATAAGTTAGTGATTATAGCTCCTTCTGTGATAATTGGGGGGGGAAGGGTAGGTAGATCACCATCTGGAATGGTCTATTTATTTCAGCTTTTTTTTTTGATTTTTTTTTTCTTTTTTAAATCAAAGAACATTGTCTTTTTTTTTTATCATTGCTTTTTTTTCTTTTCTTTTCTGTTTAAGAGACCATTCCACTTTATTTTAAACATCTGAATGCATAAGGAGTCATATGCAAAGCAGTCATACACCATTATCATTAAAACCCATATGGTAAAATACATACACAAGTCCAACAAAGGGCTAATACATAGTAAAGCCTAAGCATACTACTATGTAATATTATGAATACATAACTTGGAGACTTTAGTTAGAGTACTATGTTATCTATTCAGTTTTGAAAACATTCATTAAGATTTTAAATGCAAATTCATTCCTTATTTGGAGTAAAACAAAATCCTCTAAGTTATAACAAGTATTGGTCATAAGGTTTTAGACCTATTCATTAAATTACAAAGAACCCAGAGTTCCATAATATTCAGTAGAAGTTTGTAATAAAAACATTGCATATGTTTCTGGTGTGATGTCTTTAGCAATTGTTTACTGAAATAAAATGCAAACATCAATCTTTCAAAATACAGGATCAGAAGGTAGTTTTCTTCTCTTTTGTGTATTTGTGAAATCCATCTTTATCACATTTACCAAAAATTGTTTTTACAAATATGTAAAAGTACATTAGATAATACTAATGAAACACAGGTAGAGTTCTAGCAAATGCAGATCAATGATCAGTCAAATCATCTTCTCCAAGAACGAGATTCATTGTCCTCTTCTTCTTCATCATCATCTTGAAGTAATGAGTCATCCACCATAGACTCTTCCTGAAACTTTAGGTTAAAATGCATTTAGGAATTTACCCAAAAAAAAAAGAAAAGAAAAAAGGTGACACTTTTAAATACTGATTTCTCTCAACAGAGTTGAATACAAAGGTATTTCTATAGTTAGAACATTCAAGAAACAAAGAAAAGCAACCTTTGTCACTCAATGGTTTCTCTATAGTATCTATTCTATTACTTGCATCAAACAGGCACTAAAGAAATGTCAAAGTAAGGCCTTTGTACATGCTGTTTCTCCTACCTCTATTAAATGATACTCTCTTCTATATCTACAAAACAATGCTCAATATATATATATATATTTTTTAAAGAAAACATTAGTAAGTCTTCTCTGGATACTAAATCAGTAACTTGCAAAAAACGTCTATCAAGATTTTCTACTGCACCTAAACAAACATTTTCTTTTATAGCATTCCTTTCTTTTCTCCATTCCCTACATAAAAGTTTCTCAGACTGCTTTTCAAACTTTTCAAAGTACCTAATACCAGGAGCTCTCCTGCTTTTCTCCCCATTCAATTCAAACTCATGGAAGGACAAAGGTATAATCTAAAATATAAAATGACAAATCATGTATATGAGTTTCAAATCACACAATTTATTCTTGCATTTGACTATGGATATGTGTAACAGCCTTGAATGCTCTTCAAGCAAAATGAAGTGACACTGAAAATCTAACAAAGGTAAAACATGGAACATTACATTTCCCTACTTTACCTTTATTCTTAAATTCATCAACTTCATCCTACAGCTTATTTCAGGATTAAACAAAATAGTTGCTTATTTTTAAGTGTTGGGTTTCAAAGGGCTCTCCCACTTCATTGTTCTTATGAGCTCATATGTCTCAGCCATCAGACTAACTGCTGTTACCCAAGAAAAAACGTATTCTTCCACACCTATCCTTCTGCACAAATATGTCTCTCAACTATATTCCTAGTTCCAGCTGTTGGTAATGGAAAGCTTTAGTATCACTTAGGGTTCAGCTCCACTGTACCACCTCTTTCAAGATTCTTCTGGACAGAAATAATCATTCCTTCTTTTGAATTTCAACAGCATATTGTTCAAATCTTTATTCGGCATATCAGTCTACCTTTTATTATAATTAGTTACTTATGTGTCTGTCACCGCCACCCCCCTTTCCAGATTATAAGCTCCTTGATAGGGACCGTGTCTTATTCATTTTTGTGCCTATCACAGTATCTACCATATAGCAGGCAATCAATCTAATAAACTAAAACAATATGAATTAAAATAAACCTGAAATGTTAATACAGCAATTGAGTAGAATATATACTCTAACACTTGAAATATTATGAGATTTCCTGTGGATAAAAATCTAATGAATAATTATTGTATTCTAAGAGTAAATGAAAACTGAGTATATATATGATTTTCATATATTCTTTCTGGATTAGCAATCCACAGTTCTCATTAATTCAGGAAGTTTAAAGTTGTCTGCATTTATCTGATATCCCCTGCCTGGAATATGGCTCAGGAATAAAAGTTTTATGTTAAAATCATATTTTATATAAAAACATGAACATTTAAGGGCAAAACCAAGTGAAAAAAAACAAAAACAAAAAAACATACTTCCTCTTCATCAGGTTCAACTTCTTCTGTTTCAACAGCTGAAATATTAGTTATTGGCTTATTCCATGCCAGTTTTAGATCTTGCCCTTTGAAACGAGCCCCATGAACAGCAGCCTAAAACAATTTAAGAACATTGGAATATAGATCATTAATGACTTCTGGAAATAAATGAAGTATTACAGTATATTTAAATTAAATTAGCTAAACACAAGTAAAGGCATCTGTCTATTAATTTGCTTTGTGGTTAGGTATTTACTTCTCTATTTATTATAATTTACTTTTTAATGATTACTTATTTCTAAAATCTGCCTAGTGACTGGCTATTCCTTTAAAATGAAAACAACAACAATTTCTCCTAACTGATTAAGAGCTATTTCAGTACTGGCCAATATCTGATTAGAAGAATTTATGTCTACATGTCTACGATATAATAATTGCTATTCAAGGCAATAATCTCAATGCACTTCAAGATCCTGGATGTAGATTTTGAATCGAAATCTAAATTAGAATTAACAGACTAAATATATTTCATTGCATTTTAAATCCTGTTAATTTACAAATGACATGTATAGTAACTATAAACTAGATACTTAAGAAAATAATAATTTTGCATGTGGAATGTATCACATTATTTTTAAATTACATCATATGATCACAAATACCATTCAATGTTTGATGTACTATGATTACAAAATATAAATATCTCAATGAAGGAAAAAAACCTGAAATTTTCTATTCAAAACTAAAGTGCTTCCTACAAAGCTTTCAGAATTGCATATGATAAAATTTAAACTTAGTAAACTTAAGTTCTTACTATATTAGGTGGCTGCTTTGGAAATAGTGCATTCAAATTAAAGTAACATGAACTAACATAAATCAATGTTAGCAACATACCGAAATAACTCATAGTCACAAAAGATTTATAGCACAATCTCAAAGTATAGCATAATGTGAAATGTAGAAACAATTACATGTTCAATGACATCTGACCATGAATTGTGTGATATTAAAGTCCCCAGGTATAAATTTTAAATCTGCACACATAAATTTATGATAAATTTAAAAGAGTTCATGCCTATTAAAATGCAGCTCAGGAGTTTTCAGTCTATCTCCTCATCACAATATCATACAACTAAAAATTTTTAAAGTGCTTATATATGAGATTCAAATTCAGAAATAACTTGCAATTATTTAAGCTGTTAACTATTACATTAAAATATATTACTGTAAAAAATTCCAATTATCTCATGCAAAATGTCTACTCATAAAACTCAACTTTTCATCCAGCCAAAAAAGGCAAAAAATGTTAGTGATATTTTCTGTAAGCTCTTGACAAAAATTTCTGATGACTTAATTTTGTAAATCTCTATATTTTGTAAATCTTTACATGCTTCTTCAAATGTAAAAGGGGAGCCTACAATTCTCTAAAGGTTTCATTTTAAAGGTATTTACAAAATGATTTTCAAAGCTAGGTTAACATTTAACTTTTTACTAACTTTGCTCATTTAGAAACTTTTGACTATTTGGCTGTGTAAATTTTAAAAATAGCTGAATTCTTGGTTTTTTGAAGATATAAATTTATTTCAGGTAATCTGCAACATAACCTCTTTAAAGTTTCAACAATTCTTCTGGACTTCAGGTCAAGATGGCTGTTGGTAAATGCTGTTGCTCACCTTCTCCCATGACTCCATCAAAATTATAACTAAATTATAGACCACCCTTGAGAACCACCTGAAGGCTAGCTGAACAGAACTCTTATAACTGAGGATATAAGGAAGGCACATCAAAACTGGTAGGAGAGGTGGAGATGCAAAACGAGTTGGTCCCACACCTACTTGTGGTAGTTAAGAATAGGGAGGGATATCTCGGCTGCAGAGATCCCCACTGAAGAGCAAGGGGTACAAGGCCCACAGTGGGCTCCCCAGCCTGGAGAACCAGAAACTCAGTCTGGGTGGGACAGACCGCTGCTGGAAGCCCAGGCATCCTTTCAAAGGGTCTATGCACAGACTTGCTCACTCATAAACACTCAAAAGTTCTAGTGAAGGGACAGCAGCTCAAAAGGCACCAGGGACATAACAGGGAGGAAGTGAATTGCCCCACCCAATTAACACATCCAGCGGAACCTCTTTTGAAGGCTAACCCACATAAGGGGCCGGCCTGGGCCCCCACTGCAAACTTTCTTAAAATCTCTCAAAGGTCCACAAACCCCAAACATATGGCAAATGGCCTCAGTGTGCCCTGTACCTCTTGCTAGGTGGCCCAAGCCTGGAACTGATGGTAGCTGGCCTCAGTTCACAACATAACCACTCCCAGGTGCCTCCAAGCCCAGCACAGGCAACTACCAACCAGAGATAACTTTGTAACTCCTACTAAGTGGCCTCAGGCTAGATACAGGCAGCGGGTGACCTTGGCCTACACAGGGGCCCCAGAATCAACAAACCAGGTGGCCAGCTTCAGACCACACCAGAGCACCTCTCAATTAGTACCTGAAAGGATGCACCCAAATGGTGGACTAGGCAAGCACCTTAGCCCCTCTAAAGCAACTCCCTCTCCGTGGGGTCAGCCCCTGCATAACACCTTGTCTGAAGTCATAGCGAGTCCTCACAGCTAGTCAGCTTGATGGTCAATCCCATTCACTAACATACCAACAACAATCAAGGCTCAACGACAACAGGCACACACAGCTCATAGAAGGGTCACACCTGAAGCACCCGGCTCAGGTGAATAGGGAGACTGTGCCACTGGACCCCACAGCGCCCCACAGGGCACTTACTATATATGGCCACTCTGCCAAGACTGGTAGACACAGCAGATATACCTAATACATAGAAACAAACAAAGGGAGGCAGCCAAAATGAGGAAATAATGAAACATGTGCCAAATGAAAACAGGACAAAACTCCAGACAAAGAACTAAACAAAATAGAGGCAAGCAATCTACCACATGCAGAGTTCAAATCACTAGTTATAAGGATGCTCAATGAACTTAGGAAAAGAATAGATTATCTCATTGAGAATGTCAACAAAGAGATAGGAAACATTAAAAAGGAGATAGAAGACATAAAAAAGAAATGGTCAGAAATGAAGAAATACTGAAATGAAGAATACATTAGAGGGAATCAACAGCAGATTAGAGGAAGCACAGAATACAATCAGTGATTTGGAAGACAAGAGTGCAGAAAACTCCCAATCAGAGAAGCAAAATGAAAAAAGAATCCAAAAAATGAGGACAGTTTAAGGGGCCTCTGGAACATCAATCATAACAACATTCATATCATAGGGGGACCAGAAGAAGAGAGAGAGGAGGGGATGGAAAACCTATTTAAAGAAATAATGACAGAAAACTTCCCTAACCTGGAGAAGGAAACAGACATACAAGTCCAGGAAGCACAGAGAGCCCCAAACAAGATGAACCAAAAGAGGCCCACGTCAAGACACAGCATAATTAAAATGGCAAAGGTTAAAGACAAAGAGAATCTTAAAAGCAGCAAGAGAACAGCAGTTAGTTACCTCCCAGGGAGCTCCCATAAGACTGTCAGCTGATTTCTCAATAGAAACTTTGCAGGCCAGAAGGGACTGGCTCAAAATATTCAAAGTGATGAAAAGTAAGGACCTACAACCAAGACTAATTTACCCAGCAAAGCTATCATTTAGAATCAAGGAGAGATAAAGATCTTCCCAGAGAAGAAAAAGCTGAAGGAGTTCATCACCACCAAACCAGTATTACCGAAAATACTGAAGAAACTTTTTAAAGAAGGAAAACAATAAAAAATATGAATAAGAAAATACTGCCCCAAAAAAAGAATTCTAATAATGCAAACACATAATAAAAGCAGTGGATCAACACTAAAGCTAGCACACAGGTTAAAAAGCAAAAGTAGGATGATCACGTGCAATTACAACAGGAAATTAAGGGATACACACAAATACAAACACACACACACAAGAAGTGCAAAATAACAACAAAAACATAAACCTGGAGGGGCTGAGTAAAAATGGTAGTGACTATAGAATGTGTTTGAACTTAAGTGACCATCAACTTAAAACAGACTTCTAAAAATATAGCTTGGTATACACGAAGCACATGGTAACCACAAGCCAAAATGTGGTACAACCTGTATAGAGGGCAATTTATAACTATCCATCAAAAATTTAAATGTGCATATCCTTTCACCCAGCAGTAATGTATCCAGAATATATCCTATGGTTATAGTCACATATGTACAGAGAAATGTGCACCAGGAACATTCACTGCTATATAAAAAAAGAATAAAAACAATTTAAATCCATCAGCATGGCTGATTAGTTAGTATATCCATATAATGGAATACCTATACAAAAAATTAATGAATTTGTTTTTTGGATAGACAATACATGTTCATGATATAAGAACTCCAAAGGTTGTGAAGTAAGAAGTAAACCAATCATCTTCTCATCCTTATCCTTAGTTCTCAGGTTCCCTGCCCAGAGATTACAAATGTTTTAGGTGTTTTTCCCAGCAATTATATAATTTGTGGTAAACGTTGTATTTTTATTTTCAGACTCATACACAGAGCACATAACTAATTATGTTGGAGTCAGTGACAATGGTGAATTTTTAGCATGGAAAAAGGGGATAGATATGAATATACCTGAGATTAAGTAAAAACCATATAATACAGAATTAACTTGTTTAAGTATTAGTACAAGCTCTTAGTTTATCATTTCCTTTCTACCTACCTACATACCTCCCCCCACCACTCTCTCTGTGTGTAAAAACCCTATAGTTCAGAATTAAATGGAGAATGTAGGAGCTTTGAATTAATTTTCTTTATCATATGTATATATGTGAATGTACATGTGTATATGTCTATTTGTACATGTGTGTATGAATGTATGTATATTTTTCACTCCCAGCACTGACCACTGAAAAGGATTAGTGACTGCAACACACTCAGTAGTAATGAGAACCCTTAGTACTCATGTTATCATCTCTAAATACCTTTGCTCAGTAAAAAGAATCAGAGCTCTTTAGGGAAATGAACAATTTCAAGTCTGGAAACCAAAATGTATAAGATGAACCTAGAACACCTTTTCATACCAGAAAGAAAGACACTATAACACCCTATTAGGGTC